CACAATACTCCAGTTGTGGGTGCACCAGAGTCATATAGAGTGGTAGTAATACCTCTCTCGATCTACAAGCCACACTTCTGGCTATGCAACCAAGGGTGGCGTTTGCCCTCTTGACCACCGCATCACACTGCTGACTCATGTTTAGCCTGCAGTCAACCAGTACCCCGAGGTCCCTTTCACAAGTGCTGCTCTCCAGCCACTTGTCACCTAACCTGTATTTATGACACCTATTCCGATGGCCCAAGTGCAAAATCTTGCACTTATCCACATTGAACGCCATTCTGTTGTCTCCTGCCCACTTCCATAGTCTGTCCAGATCCTTTTGGATCTGGAGTACCTGCTCCTCAGTTGTGGCCACTGCTCCAGTTTTAGTATCATCTGCGAATTTGATCAGCAGACTGTTCACCCCTTCTTCCATGTCGTTAACGAAAAGATTAAACAGGATCAGCCCCAGGACAGAGCCCTGGGGGACCCCGCTTGTCAATAGACGCCATCCCGATGATTCCCCACTAATGGTTACCCTCTGCTTTCGGTCAGTCAACCATGCCCTAATCCACCGGACAGTGCTTTGGTGTATCCCAAAACTCCTCAGTTTCTCCACCAGGATATCATGGGGCACTTTTTCACTTTGCTGAAATCCAGGTAAACCACATCTAACACCAGCTCTGAGGTCAGTCTACCCTTCTCAGAGCTGCAGTCAAATCAGTTCTTTCTCTGCCTGCTGTGAAAGAGGAGAGAGGGTGTTCAGAATCTCTGAAGATTGGTATCCGACTCCTAGAAAATTGGCATTTATTAAGTTTGGTTCCTTCTCTAAGTGCTGGAGGGGAAACCAAGTGGCTGGCACCTATCAACACACATGGTGGGAATGTGATGAGATGCAAAAATTCTGGAGTACAGTTTTCACTGAAATTACTTGAAGAAGTAGAAGTACCTATGGGCTAAGAATTGGCCCGACTTAATGCATTTGTTGAAAAGAATATAAATATAGAACATGAGCTAATTTTACATGTTCTATTTGTTGCTAGAAAAGTAACAGTTTCACAATGAAGGATTTTAAATTTACATATTTGAATAAATGGTATGAATTGATATGGAAGACAGCAATAACAGAAAAATTGTCGTACAAACTACATGTTACAGGAGGCCAACAAATGTTTGATTCCTTTGTTTGGTTACCAATTATTGAATATACTAACATAATCGAATATGGGAGGAGGATACCAACAAGTTAGAAATCATTATGGTTGTTGTAACAGTAACCAAGTTGCATCCTGAAGGACTTTAGATTCTATTTTATGTTCTTGGGGTGGGATGGGAAAGGGATATGGATAAATATTTAATGCATGCTTCCAAATGTTTCTTTATTTTTGCTTAATTTTCAATAAAGGAAACTTACAAAAAACTTCTAATCTGAATTGGAGTTTTGTAATCCAAATGAAGCTAATGAGTTTTAGATTTATTTAAGTATACAACACTATACACCACCTATCTGATCTGTTCTCACTCACCTCCAGGTTCATCTACATGCATGAACACCATGTCATCATTAGCTGCCAAGATAGAGTAAAACTGTTCTTGACCAACTGAAGGAAGCTGGGCCATATTCCAGGTTTCACCTTGATCCAATGACACATGGATTCGCCTTGTAGTTCCCTAGAGAAGGCAATGATTGTTAACATTATTGATCGGTAAAATTATTTAGATAACATACGTAACTATATATAAAAACTCATTATATACAGTAATATAATGTTACCATAAAATAACAAAAAACTCATTTTGTTATTTACAGAATAAATATTTACCATTCAAAGGGCTGCTCTATCCTAAGATATCAAGATTTCTTCATAAACATATTATTCATGATGAGGATGATGATAAGCTGACTTTTTAATAGAATTTTTCCCTCTTGGAGCTTGACTGCTGAGAATATGGCCAGGATGAACTAAATATACACTGAGTAGACTGGGACAAGATGATCCACCCATACCCAAGGGCTGAGTATCTGTTGAATGTGGAATGCCATTGAATAGTGGGTTCCTGCTGAAATGTGGTTAAAACTAATGTGGTTGTTCTCTGCACCAAGCTGAGCTAACAAGCCATGACTTGTTAACCATGAGCTACCCAAGAACAGAACCCATCGTTTATTGTCATTGTGAATGGTGGACTGTTCACCATGGTGATGTGCCAGCTGGGTTCAGCAACATGATAAAACCACATTTTACCACCAACCTAAAACTTAGCAAGGACATACATTCAACCCATCCTCAAACCTCTCTTCAGCTGACAATTTATGTTTATAAATATTTAATATCAGTGCATAAAGCAAGAATGGAATAATGAACTGGAAGACCTCATATTGTTCAGCAAATGGAGTGCTTTACTGTTATCTATTTCACAAGGGATTATACATCTCAAACTATGCTTACTTCAGCAAAAATCAATGTTTCAAGTGTATTGGGCCTCCACCACATCTGTTTAATAAGGATTTAATTAAACTAGCCAGTTGTTGGTAATGTAATGCTGCTAATGCATCTCTTCTCCATATGTTTTGGCAATGCCCAATGGCAGCTTCCTTTTGGAAAGAGGTAATGATTCAGATAAATCTTGTGACAGAATGCCCTTTAATATTTAAGGATACACATGCTCTTTTGAATTACCTTCCCATCTCTTGGAATCTAACACAAAGTCAATGTAAATAGATTTTCTGCACCCTTTTGACAGCTATAAGACTGATATCTGAGGATTAATGGCATTTTCCCCTCTCCCTCTGAAGCAGGGGAACTAAATGGTCAAATGTAGCAACCTACTGAATTGAACAGGTGGCCTTTAGACATAATCTACAAATGGATAAATATATGGATATTTGGGGTGCCTTTAATAATTGTAGAATTAATTTAGTAACAGTGGTATATCCTATTACATATTAATATATAGGGTTATATAACATATATGTAAGCAGTGCTATGGATCTTTTTCATTCCTTTAATATTATTCAAACTTTCTTCCCCACCCACTTTGCTTCTTTTCTTATGGAGCCATTTGGTTGGTTGTGTACAGCACAATGAAAACTAAATTTTAAAAACATGCAAGTGTGTGTAATCATGCTGTCTGAACCCATTCTAAGGCCTGTCCTTGCATTAACTGAAGCTTAAAACAAGCAAGCAAGCAAGCAAACAAACAAGACACAACAACATGACCATAATGCTGGATTTTTTTACTACCCATTACAGAAGCACGAGCAGCAAAAAACTTATTGTAAGCTAAGCTCACAGGGCCTATAGAAATCAAAAAGGAGGAGAATGTCCTACCTTTTCGGTCATCACTGATGCAAAGAGGAAGCGGCCACCAAGGCCAAAGGAGTAGATTTTACTTCCTATAGTTTTGAATGTCTTCCCAAAGTCTTTGGTCCTCTTCAGTTCAAGTAATCCCAGATCAGCTTCTTGAGAAAAGGAGATAAATGAATTAATATTGTTCCAACCAGAGAGATGGCTAAGTCCCTCTCCCTGCAATAATCAAACCAAGAGAGGTTAGAGGGCTGCAGTGCTAGCCCTGCCACCACGGCTGTGCAGTTCCCACCCTCTGCTTTCCAATGTTCATGTGTTGCACATCAGTCTCCACAAAGGAGCAGCCTATGCACATCAGCTGACTTTTGCAGGCATTCATGCTCACATGGGGATGTCAGGGAAAGAAGCTGCAGAGCCATGCAACCTCAGGGCAGAGTTTCAGAGCTGCATGTGTAACACCTGATGAGGGCTAAAGAATGAATTAAAATAAAGCTGAAGAGAACAAACACTTTTAACTAGGGTTATGTAGGGTTATAATAGGACTGGTGACTGGACTGCATGATGCTAACCTTATTTGCATGTTGCTTTTCAATTTGCCATAACTTCAAAGATAGCTCACAACAATAAAATGGTATAAAATAGAAAACAAAATTCAGAACAAATCAACAGAAACACTGAACAGAAAATCAACAGAAACACTAAAATGAAACAGAGAGTACTTACTACAAGAGCCATTCAGGTAAGTGGTGAAGAAGATGGTTATTCCAGGGCCCCTAGAAGAAGTCAACAGAGGAAAGTCTGCTTATACTGCTAAGAGCAAGAAAGCTGGCTGAGTGAAGAACTGGCAATTCAACACTCTGTTCACCATGGGATGCCCTCCTCCCTCAGCTTCTACTTTTCCAACTCCACAGTTCCTATAGTTTTGCAAAAGGGTGGAAAAGGTGGAATACACTGACAGCAGTCAGGTCCAATCAAAAGAACTTCCTAGCACTTACCAGGAAGAAGGTAATCTAAAAGCTATCTCCTTGTATGAGCAAATATCCCACATGGCTTTGCTTCCCTAGCCAGCTTTCCATTTGACAGTTGTCAAGGGAATGCAAAGTAACAAATTAACCTATCTGCAGGCTTATTTAATCAACATCCATGGATGGTACCTATTGTGTGCTGACAGCAGGCACCTACCAGGATATTCAGCAGGTAAGCCTTTTCATTCTGGGCCCTGAAAGTGCACAACTTCACATCTGCAAAAGTCTGGGGAAAATGTTACAAAAATGTCTGTGCACATTTGGGGCACGCATACTAACACGCGCGCACGCACACACACAATACGCAGTGACAGCTGTTCCAATGTGCCACTTGGAAACTTTGGTGGGCTGTCACTGCAGGTTACTTTGGAGATCACAAAGTGATCTATGGGCGAAAGATGGCTAGAAGGGAGGAAAGACCCAGCAAGTGCAAAGGGATTTGTGACTGGACCTTGTGGTGGCAAGCCAGTGTTGGTCACTCTAAAGTGTTGTTGTGGATACTTGGTGGAGCAACAGTTCAGCCTGGCAAAACCAGGGGCTTTAGTCACTTTTGCTGAGTGGCTTGCTCACCACATTCCAGTTGCCTGTATTTGCAAGCAGCAATCCCTAGAACAAGCTATAGGTTGGCAGGGTGGCTTGTTGCCCACAAATGAAACCACCCTGTGGGAAGTGGTGCTCAAATGACACTAGGTCCCCTAGCTGTGTGTCAGGCCCTACCTGCAGGAGGACTCCTCAGAAGCAATGAGCCCCAGCCACAGACACCGTGGTTGTGGCTGCAGATGACTCCCTTCCATTAGAGGAGGAAAAGCCAGGATCCTCATGGGCAGTCCCTGTGGCTCCCCAAGAGCAGAAGCCAGAGGCAGAGGCAGAGGCAATTCACCCCTTAGAAAGGAGGAGAAGTACATGGCTTTGGCTCCGGCAGAAATCCAAACAGTCTGAAAGGGGAGTTTTCCATGAAACAGCACGCTGAATTAATTAGCCGGCTGTGCTGAGTTACAGCTGGCTATAAATTAGTTCAGGCAGAGCTGCTCTGTGTTGCAAACAACAAGTGGCATTATCTGTGTTCCTGGACTTTGTTGTTGTTAACCAGTATCTAGATTCCTGACCTGTTTATTATACATTCTTTTGGACACCCGCACCTGACTTGGAGCTTCGGAAATGAACTAACCATATGGCCTTGACCCCTGGAATCAAACTGACAATTCTTGAGAAGGTAATACGAAGAGTAGGCTTTTGTGTACTCAGGGCAGGACACTGTGTTGCATGAACGCAGTCTTTGCAAGAGTGTACAAGGATAGGCATTGTGGAATGCTTCTTGTATAGATTGCAGAACTGCTACAATGCATACTATATCAAATCTTACTGTCATCAAGAGTAACAATCTTTGACAAGGTATTCAGAAAATCTATCAAGCCAAAACATAGCAGCTTTTCAGAGGTCAATGTCCAGAAGCAAAAGTCTTTTAAGAAGTTCCTTGTAGGGAAAGTGCCCTAGGAAACAGTTTTCAAATTCTGGGACACAGGACAGTTATATAGATGAATGTTTAGCATTTCTGCAAACGCTGTGGTTAAAACAATGTACAAGGTAGAATATCAGCTTGAAAATAATAGGAAAAACTTTGCCTTTTTCCAAAAGGAGATGCTCAACCCCTCTGCTCATAAAGGAGAATATGCCCCTGCTGTATGTTTTGGACAGCATGTACTTCTATACAGGAGTCTTCAATCCAGTCACCAGGTTAGTACTAGATTAGCAACAACTTCTCTCCTTCCCACCAATAATGCCTAGTTATCATCACTAGCAATCAGGTCACTGTTTTATTTATTTAAAACTTTTTAGACCATCCCTTATCGTAGTCTCATGACGGTTTAACAATAAGACAAAATAGAATAAAGCACAGCTTCCTAGTCAAATTCTTAACCAATCAACAATAAAACCCATATTAAAATTTAAACCTTAAAACATTAGGAAAATAAAAACATTTTAGACTGGCACCGAAAAGAATAAAGTGATGGTGCCATGCAAACCTTTCTGGGGAGCATATTCCACAATTGGGGTGCCACCACAGAGAAGGCCCTTCTCCGGGTAGTCGCCCTCCTAATCTCCTTCAAGGAGGGCTCCTGGAAAAGGGCCTCTGCCCCAGATCTTACAAGGCAAGCAGGCATGTATGGCAAGATATGCTCCTTCAAGTAACCAGGCCCTAAGCCATTTAGAGCTTTATAGGTTATCACCAGCACCTTAAATTGGGCCTGGGCTTCAACTGGCAGCCAGTGTAGGTGGTAAAGGACCAGTGTTATATGTTCATACCTGCTGGTCCCTGTTAACAACTTGGCAGCTCTATTCTGAAGTATCCAGACCCTCTATGTAGACAACCCTACATAGAGCGTGTTACAGTAGTCCAATTGGGAAGTTACCAGCACATGGGTCACCATTGCCAGGCACCGCTTATCCAAACAGGGGCACAGATGATAACTCAGCCTAAGCTGAAAGAAAGCGCTCCTTGCCACAGCCGCCACCTGGGATTCCAGGGACAGCTCTGGATCAAGGAGCACTCCCAAACTGTGCACCCTATCCTTTAGGGGGAGTGCCACCCTGTTCAGAACAGGGTTGGAAACACCTATCCGGGAGGCTAAACTGCCTACCAGCACGACCTCTATCTTGTCTGGATTAAGCCTCAATTTATTGGCCCCCATCCAGTCCATCACCCCAGTCAGGCACCAATTCAGGATCTCCACTGCCTCACCTGGATTAGATGTAAAAGAGAGGTAGGGCTGGGTGTCATCAGTGTATTGATGGCTCCGCAGCCCAAAACTCCTGATGACCTCTCCCAGCGGTTTCATGTAGATGTTAAAAAGCACGGGGGATAAAATGGAATCCTGTGGAACTCCATGGCAAAGCTCCCATGGCACAGAGTCACAATCCCCCAGCACCACCTGCTGGAATCAGCCGGTCAAGTAGGAGTGAAACCACCACAAAGCACTGCCTCCAACCCCCAGCCTATCCAGAAGGATATCATGGTTGATGGTATCAAAAACCACACTAGCAATGAGTTCTCCAAACTGCAAAGAACTCAGTGGGGAGGGGAAGAAGGGGTTCTTCCTTCTGCCAGCTCTGCCACACTAGATCCCTCCCCACACAACAAGGAATAAGGAGAAATTGTGTCACTTCTTCTCCAAAGCACAGCATGACATAAGACCCCTAACCCCTCCCCTCCAATAAGTCCTCTGTGTATGCATCCACATATTATGTCTGTCTAGGAAGAAATTTAGGGACTTCTGTAAGTTAGAACCAGATCAGCCAGCAGAAGAGGCATTGACCTATATGTGATCCAAGTGCAAGACTCAGTGACAACATTCATTCCTCATGGAAAATACTTATAGATATGTTGTTGTCAGGTATTGCCTGATATGGGAGTTAGACCATCTAGCCCAGTATTGTCTACTTCAATTGGCAACAGCTGCCAAAGGTCTTATGCAGAAGTCTTTTCCAGTCCTACTGTCCAAGATCCTTTTATCTGGAGATATCAGGGATTAAGTCTGGGATCTTTCATACAGAAAGCGTGTGCTCTACCATCAAGCTTTACAACTACTCCCATAATGGCTATGGAATGCTCAAAGTGAAAAAAATCTAGAACAGTAAAATTTAACATATAGCAATGAAAGGCCTTTATAAAGTGCTCTTTCTATGCACAGCCAGGGTCAAATAGTGAAAGATGGCAGTTAAAAAAAAAGTTACTGTAACTTTTCTGAAAAAAGCACATGTTACCAATTATTGATGGGAAAAGGAAAAGTTACTGTAGTACCAATGGGATTGAGATTGCTGGGATTGAGAAAACAGCACTGAATGTTTTATTCTAAGGACAGTGATCTTTGCGTTTTTGCAAACAGCCAGCTGTAATGCAATCAGAGAATATTAAATGACTAACTCCCCCTGGAGAGCACATTTGTTTTTCAGCTGCTCACCATTTGGCCAAGCAAACATCTTTGTGGATTTCTTTCCATTTCTCACCAAAGGACCTGGATATCCAGAGGCTGCCCTGAAACATTTAGAAAGTTTTGCTTATTATGAGACATATCCCTTTCATATTCCTTTCCATCACAAATATTTACTAAAATATTTTAGCCCAGTTTTCTATTGAAATTGCTTAAAATGGCTTACAATTTGATCAACATACTTAAAAATACAATCAGTAAGCAAGAGAAAAGAAAGTAGCATCTAAAACACTTCAGCTAAGTTATCAAGGAAATTAAAAGTAGTAACTTGGCAGTTGTGGCAAAAGAGGAATCCTTTGCAGAGTGTCAAATTGTCATTAGTGAGGGGTTGGGAGAATGTTCCAAAGTGTAGTTGTGGCCACACAGAAGGCCCTCTTCTGCATTCCAACTGGACATAACTCAGATGCTAATGGAATATGAAAGTAAGCCTTCACAGAGGATTTCAAAGCATAGGAAGATCAATTTGAGAAAAGGCAATATTTTAAGTACCTTGATACCGATTCATTTAAGGCTCTAGACTCAGAACTAGCACTTTGAATAGGGCCCAGAAACAGAGCACAAGCCAGTGAAGCCATTGCAGTAAAAGGGGTCTCATGATCCTAATAACAGACTGACTGTAACATTTCTGAGTGGGTGAAAACTGCATTTATTATGGAAGCAAGCATCAGTGACAATGTCTCTTCTTATCCCCTTTCTACAAGAGCTACGTAATCTTTAGACGTATGTTTAACCATGATAAATATACTCAGAAAACAAAATGTGGCAGTGCAAAGGGCAATTACAATGGCTACCATCTAGCCTGCAGTTTTCCATACTGAAGCCATGTTGGTCTTGGTCTCTGATCAGTGTTGACATCACTGCTGTACAAGATCAGATGGAATTTTGAGGTTATTTGTTTCCTTAAGACTTCACAACTCCTGGTCAAACTCCTCTGTCCAAAACTGTTAGCTATTTAAGATCCTCCTAGAAAATAGCTGTCTGTTGCTGATACAAAGATTATTAATAATTATACTCTGTAGTTTCTGTGTAAAAAAAAAAAACAACACTTAGGGTGATTTACACCATATGACCACAAAGCAGCATTATTTACTGGCTGAAAATGATGCTGCTGCCAATTGTGTCCAAATGGAGTTATATAAGGACTGCTTATCCCCACCCCATTCCCTATACATTCCTCATGGGTCAGTTCACACAATCAAGCAAGTCACAGCAGTTTTAATAATCCGCTACGGCTTATCTAAATCATCAGCACATGCTGGGTCCCATTAGACTAGCAGCAGACCATGGGCTGTTTGCCTTCAAACAAGCCATGCAATCCAGGAAGCCATGACAGATAGGTAATTAGGTTAATGTAGCCAGGATTTGGTACCTATTTAAACAAACCCTAGTTTTAACAAAACATACTGGCTTGTTTTGATCACAAGAACTAGATCATTTACTCTAAATATATTAATGCAGATCAGATGCAGGGCTTAAATTACCACATCAGTGAAGAAATAAGAAGATAGTTCAAAACACACATGTACACACACACACACGCACATACTGGCCCTTACCTCAGTACTAAGCACCAACAACAAATCAGAATTCTGAGGGTGATAAATTATCTGAGTCAAAGGATGGAAAGGGAGATCTGTCATTACGAAATTCTTAGCGAAATCTGATGATCTGAAGATTCTTCCGGTGTGAAATGGGCCAGATCTATCCCCAGTTAGTATCACCTAGACAGAAAGACAAAGAAACAGGTTTGCCAAGGATCCTAACCTGATCTAATAAGTAGACTTTATGAAATTCATACCCTAACAATATCAAGAATACTGTTTGATTGCACGAGTACTATAACAATAAATTTAGAGAGCAATCTTGAGTTACCTAGACTGCATTTATAGGACCATAGGATACTCTGAATTCCCAAATACGATGCAGGAAACAGGTGGGGATCTAAGCTTCTATAGCCCTCCTCCCTTTCACAGCTGGTGTAGAAAAACATGATGGTAGCTTCTCTGAAGTCAGAAAGTGGGAAGGATATGTGAAGGGGAGGAGACTGGAGCCACCTGGGTACAAAGTATCCTGACATCACTCCAGTCTCCTTCCCTCTCCCTCTGAAGCACCTCAGTTAAATGGCCAAATGGCTTATGAACATTGAAGGTATGATCCATTGGACTGCACCATTATCTACAAACTGACAATCTTGAACAAGTGGGCAATGCACCAAGAACAATGCTTGTGTCTCAAGGTCATACAGAAAATGAATGGAGAATAGAATAGCTTGGTATGCAGACATTTTGTGGCAGAAGTCTATGCCATGAAACTAAAGCAAGAATATTGTCAGATACCTGAAAATATATTTATTCCACCCAACAAGCTTCAGAAAAAAAGTTTCTCCTCTGTCAGGTGCTATTTATCTTTCTCCAGATGTATCAAGAACACATCCTTCCAATAACTCTTCTGTGCGGAAATTACATTGGAAGAGCCATTGGAAGGACATTTTCTTGAGGCAGCTGAAAAAAGATAAGAGGAAGGAAAAACATTTTTAAGTGCTTTGTGCAGAATAATTATTTTCTTCAAGCACCTGAGAACTTTATTTTGTTTTGTGACAAATGCCTCCCCCTCTTCTACTTTTAGAAGTCTCTGTCTTACATACAATATGGATATCTAAGCCATACTGTGCCAATACTCTACATGACTCTCTAGCAGTCACCTGCTTAAGCACTTGGAAACAAAGTTCAGTACCATCTGAGGTTCCAAGCTTCAAACAGCTCAAGCAAGGTCTCAAATCACCCCTCTGCTATTAGGAAAAATGATAAAATGAAGCCTTTCAAAGATCTTTCATCTTGAAACTAACTCCCACCTTTAAATAAAAAGAATAGCACTAACAGATATCTCTCCAAATCATACTTGCAGGCAATCCCTACCTTCCCTGAATTCTCTGGTCCAATAGCCATTCCAAATTCTGTTCTGATGAAAGTGTTGTTAATGAGATCTGTGATGTCTATGAATGTTTTCCCATAGTCTTCACTATGATATAAGAGAGAGAGAGAAGTATAAAAACAAGAGGATACAAAAATCTTTAACTGCGTTTGGAGATCTCTTAAAGCAACTGAGCAGACCAAATAAGTAACAGAAAGAACTGAAACTCTTTACAGTCACCATCTGCAGATAGCTTGTGGTTTTCATATGCGGTGAGCCAAATATGGAATACTTCAGGTTGAGAACTTTTGTACATGAGGGCAAATATGTACAGAAAACTGCCACCTGACACAGCACTTATACAGGAAAATATATGTATAACAGACAGTATATTTAAGAACCGATCTCTTCCTTTTCACTTCAAGGTAGCTTAACAAAAGAAACATTTCAAATAATAACAAACGAAGCATATTCAAAAGCAATACTGAGCTGGTAACTAAAGAGCATTCAATCTAAAATGAGTGGCTAGTTATCATAGAACAAATGTGTTCAGTTGGGATTCGAGCCTGGTTTTGGCATAGCAGCAGCCTTGGTCACCCTTCCTAAGGACCAGTCTCAGGAGACAGACATGGAGACTGTGATTCTTCTTGATCACTTGATGGCCTCTGGTATCATCACCTATGATATCCTTCTGGGGTGACTCTGAGCTGAAAGCAGGGCTACTGGATTGCAGTGATTCTGCTCTTATTTGGATGGATTGCTACAGAAGCTGGTGCCAGGGGAATATTGTTTGGGCCCTATGGCTTCTCCAGCATGAGTCCTTGAGGAGGTCAATTCTGCCCCCCATGCTATTAAACCAGGAAGCCACTGAAAGGTGTCATCCAGACTTTGGGAGCACACTGTTATCAGGAAGCAAATGACACACAACTCCACTTTACATCTCCATCAGGTGATGCTGTGGATGTACTAAATCACTGCCTGGATGCAACAGAAGATTAGATGACAGTTCAGTTCAGAAAACACCAAAATGCTGTTTGTGGTTGGTGGTGCTGACAGATAGAGAGAGATCACCATCTGTCCTGTATGGGATTACACTTCCCTTTAAGGAGCAGGTTCATAGTTTGGGGATTCTTCATAGCTTGGGGATTCTCTTAGAGCCACCTCTGTCATCTGAGACTCAGTTGTCTTCAATGTTATGGAGTGCCTTCTGCCAGTTTCAACTAGTAGCCCATCTATGGCCCTATCTTACCTGTCCATGCTCTGGTAAGTTCCATGTTAGATTACTGCAAATGTGATCTACCTAGATCTGACCTTGAAGATGGTGCAGAAGCTACAACCTGGGCAAAATGTGGCAGCCAGACTGATAAGATCCAAGGTCCAAACATATAACACCAATTCTGACCCACTTGTGTTGACTGCTTGCCTGTTTCTAAGCCCAGTTCAAGGTGACAGTTTTAACCTAAAAATCCTTCCATGGCTTTGAACCACAATACCTAATGAAACATCTCTCCAGACATAAGCCCAAGCGAAGTGCAGAAGATAGCAACAAGGAAGAGTACCACCTCATGGTACCCCTGCCACGATTCTGGGGTGCTCTTCCCACTGAGGTCGGCCTAGAGCCAACACTGTCCTCTTTTTGACACTAGGGTAAGACTGTCCTCTACTTCAAGCCAATGATTGCATATAATGAGAGAGTTACATCAGTTGTTGCCATTAGGTCCAGCATCATATTTTGAATATTTTAGCTGTTTAAATTGTTTTAAATATTTTATCTTAGAGACTTTATATCATATTTTTATTATCCTATATTGTGATGTTTCGGTTTCATCATTTTTCTGTGAACCACTCAACAGAGCTCTAATTTCTGAAAAGAAAGGAATTATCATAAAAGGCATTGTGTGCCATTAAGCACCCAGAAAGGCACAACACATCACCTGATAAATACGGTGGTATGTTAGGTGTCTGAAAGATAAACACAGTGCCTGATAAATATGGCAAAAGAGTAACTCTCATAAATTCAGAGTGCCTGTATCTAAAAAGGCCTCTCTATGATAGTTATAACGTGCCAACTAGCTCTAAGTATTGATACAGAGGAATTCAAATATATCTAGCCAATACTTCTATTAGAGGTGCTGGCCTCCTGAAAGAATGACTGTTATTAGCAATGACTTCTGTTTACCCATCTAACCAGCTGTTCCTGCTACAGAGACTTCTCTCTTTGTCCCAGGATTCCAGAATTCACCTAAAAGCTCAAGCCTTCTACCCTGAGGAATCTTCAGCTAGATCTCTTAAGCAAGGCAAGGAGTGCCTGGGACCCTTATGGACTGAGAACAAAGGCACTGACACAAAACAGTATGCCTTGCCAGTTTTTCCTCTTTCTCTTGGTCTATCTGCTGTTTCAGGCTTGTCTCAGTTTGAATATGTGAATGCCATTCTTAATGCATGACCACTTGTAAACCAGGGACTCTCTCTGACTGTATGAAATCCTTTATTCTCATCAATTGTCCACACAAGCAGCAAGGTCTGGAGAAAGCTACAGTGCTCAGCAGTTCCTTGCCTTTCCCTGTGCTCTTGGCAAGGAGAGTGCCACCATTCATACCCTTGCAGGAACAACTCTTTGCCAAAGAAAATTCTTCTCCAGGCTCATTGTCTTTGGTGCAACTGATTTTATCTGGGTGTGGAGAATGCAAGAGCAAGTAAAAATCAACCAGTCCAAGGAACTGTGTCTGGCAAGGAACTGCAGCTGACCAAGGTGAGGGTGCAGCTGTGGTGGAAGGACTTTCCTCACAGGAAAGCATGAATGCTCCCAAGCTCTTACTACTTGTAGAGGCAGCGAGGAGGGAACCTGCTCTTTGTAGAGTTCCCAACAGGAAGAAGGTGTCAATACTGGTCATACATTAAAAGGCAAGCCACCCAGACAGCTCTGGTTATTGGCTAGTATTCATGTTTCAGTGAAGACAGAGTATTGTGTGTATATAGATATAGATAGATAGAAGACAGACACAGGTCTAAATGAAGCCCTAGGAATACTGCTTTATGCACAGAATGGGCTACCTGGCGTATGATCTACTTTTGAGCTAGCATGGCTTCCTCAGCTATTGCTGCTGCAACACACTTATGCTTGTTGTTGTTATTGTTCAACTTGCAGCAGTTTCTTCAAGAGTTTCAAATATATCCAGAAAACACTCTCACCATCAAGAATCTTTGTACAAGTCACCCTAGTGTTCACCACCAGCTTTGTAAACAGGATGATCCATCACTAGTCCAAATGCTCTACTCATAACAGCTATTTCTAAGCAGATTCAAGTTGCTCCAAAAGTCCTCATACAGGAATTGACAGCAAACTGCCAGTTCACTGATGTTCATTACAAGGTCCTTACCTTCTATAGAGTTTAGATTGCCCAAAACTCATTATCACCAGAGGTACTTGAAATGTGGTCAAAACAAGAATAACCTGGGGAGAGAGAAGAAAAATGGTTAGCTCTGACAGTGTGAGAGAAACACATCTGGAACACTGCACATTTAAAAGTACAAACCCAATAAGAGAAAGTTTATATTGCCATATTTGACTGCATAGTTAGTACAAACTTAGTTTTTACAGTTTTTTTAGCATACTAAACTAGGATACATTTCAACATAGAAACAGTCTAGAATACACTTAAAATCATTCAGTCCATAGTTATTCATAAAACAGACATATGCTGGAAAACACACAAGGTCACTTGAATATACCAAATTCACAGGAAATGTTTTTGGGTTTTTTTTTGCTCATTCCCAAAAATAGTTTGTCTAATTTTACAATTTTTCTTATACTTTGATTCCCTTTTGAAAAAACTGCTGAGTGCTACTTAGGTTTCTCTGTTAATAGCTAATCTCTCTGTCTAGAGCCAGTGAGATCTGCAAGCAAGTACGAAAGCTGTTACTGAATCCCAAACTGTGCTATACCTCCTTTGTGCATCATATGACTACAAAACAGAGTCTAGATTGCCATAGGATTTTTCAGAGTTCCAGCTCTGACCTTGGAAGCTTGCTGCAGAGCTAACATGACCAAGAACTGTGTCACTCTCTGGCTCCATTGTTGCAAGAGCAAGCTCTGAGGGGCAGTTCTAGGATCAGGGAGGAGAATGGGAAGGAGAAGAGACTGGCTCCACCCGCATGTAAAGTATCCTGGCAACAGCTCACACTCCTTCACATCCACTGTGAAACTGAACACTTAGATGGCTGGATTTTGCAGAAAGAGCGAAGAACAGAGGTGCACAGAACCCCCACACTCCTCCCACCATGCAGAGCATGACTATATTTGTCTAGGTTATAACAGTAAGGCTCAATTTTATCCTGCTATTTTCTCCTTACTTTTAGCCATTAGCTCTAATCAAAAAATGAAATTAAGCGGTCAGCAGACTTTTATCTAAATATACAGGGGGACACTTAAATAATTTTATGCTCAGAATTAAAGTTGGACTGGAGCCAGTACTGCATACTAGTGTAAGGGGACACTGAATCTTTAACATACCCATCTTTGAACTGAAGGACTGAAATGCTCAAGACCACCTTCCTTCCTTATTTTGGAATTAGTAAGTAAGATAGCAATTTGTAATTTGACAAGGCAACTGTATCAAAACAACCAGAGCAAATATGTAATCCAGCCATACATTTCAATCCAAATTCAATTCTGGATTGATTGTGCCTGCATCTCAGACAGTTATCAGAAAAAGACATGCTCTCTGATACTGCAACTATACTAATATTGCTTGGTCAGTAAACGTCTTGTGTTGAACTCTAGAAAACGCAAAATATTTTGTAATGGGGCTGGGCAACTGAAGAGGACACAGACAAAGTCTGGCCCAGGGAAAGCTGACAGTGGGCCTCAGAGGCTGGGTTTACTGACACTAGCACCCATTTAAATAAAAGGGTGAGGATGGCAGTAATAAAGCTTAACTTTCCAGTTGGCTTTGTGCCAGATGACTTGAAATAGGGTAAAGCATGAATGGGAGAAGAAATAGTCAGAATACCACCTGTTGTGGTTTGGCACCCATGCAACTGCTTCAGAGTGTGTATTGCGAGGGAAGTAATATTTGCATAAATGCACAACAACCACAGGTGTGATTCCATCTACTGTCAAAGTTAACCTCTACTAGAATCCAGCTAGCATGAAATGAACTAGAAAGTTATGCCAACACACCTGTTTTTGTCATTTGCACTGGAATTTCTTCTGCCACTTTAATGATGGCAATTCTAAGACTGTGTGTGTGTGTGTGTGTGTGTGTGTGTGTGTGTCTCTCTCTCTCTCTCTCTCTCTCTCTCTCTCTCTCTCTCTCTCTCACACACACACACACACACACACACACACACACACACACAAGCACTCACTTCTTCACTCTTGGGTGACATGTCTGCCGAGTTTTTAGCCCACAGGCTGATTTAATTCCAGTCAAGTTATTCAACTAAAGTTCAAAGTCAGTACAAGGTTGAAAAGACACACGTTTGTAGCTATGAAGTGTAAGTACATGAGAAAGAGAGAGATAGAATGCGACAGTGTGTGATTTTACAGAAAATCAGAAATTCAGTGGCCAGAGGTCATGCCTATTAAGATGATAAACACTTCAGCTAAATCACCGCTTAAAGGCAGGCAAACACATGCATGCTTTAATTGAAAATATACTATATGATACATGTTTTGAAGCAACCTTAATAGTTTAGCACCCTCTGCTTTGAAGAGGCCTATGTCTGCATATAACACTGACTTTTCAGTCATGTAATTTACACAAAACTGGTTTGCTTACTGGGACTGGAAAAGCAGCATTGCAGTCTTGATTTCGCCGCAGTGACCAAAACTATCTATACTGACTTTCTAACAACTCATCAGTGTGTCTGGAATGTGGCTCATTGGTGCTCTACTTTAAAAAAAAAGTCATGTCTGTTGCAGTTTGCACACCGAAATACATTTTTTCTAGTGAACCAGAAGAAGCATCTCTGTGCAGGATGTGAAGAAAGAGGATATTTCCACCTGCCCAACAAGGCCTCAGCACTTGGGCAATTTTCACCTCAAGTCTAGATGGGCAGCTAGATACTTCTTACTAAATCCAGAGTGAGTCGCCAAACTTATGCAACATCTACACAGTTTCCCATCTCCATCGTAGGCCATGAGGGGGATGGTAACAGCTAAAAGAAGAACTGACAGTCTTGTAGCACCTTCAACTGGAAAGAATTATTTCTCATGACAAACAGGCAGGAATAGCCCTGTTCTTCTTTGTGGGAAGATTAAAATGAAAGCTTTCGCTATTTAAAACATAAAGTCATGCTCTGGGGGGAATTATTATTTTACTAATAGAACTTTTGTTCCTTTGCAAAATCTGTTCAACTTGTTTATACTACTTACCCCAGTGCCATCCCCAATCCAGGAGAGGGATACAGAGCCACTGAGATCATTGAAGACACACTGTAAAAGCAATTACAAATATAATTCAGTCTTCTGATCTTGCACACAATTCCAAAAAGCAAACAATGATGTCATGTGGTCACAAATTCAATATCCCTCACAATCACATTGCTTCTTATGCATCCAATCTGAAAATTATAGCTCCTGAGTTTCACTGAGCACACCATACATCTCATGAAGGGTCTGTACTCTGTCAGGCCTAAATTTCAATCTCCATGCAGTTTTGTGCGAATGCCTCTCTCATAAAGGAAAAGAACAAACAAAGCTTTCCCAGATCCATTAATACAGAGATCCCAATCCTTTTGTACCTGTGGACACATTTTGGAATTTGGGAAACTGCTGTTTCTCTTGATTTCTAACCTATTCCCCTTCCCTCCACATCTTTACCTTATTGTTACTCTCAACATCTAGTTCCCAGCCTTGCTCTTTCTCTTCCTTTCTTTTGCATTCTTTGGTCAACAGCATGTTTAAGAACAGGAAGGAGAAACTGGTACCATAATGGTTACATTTTCTTACTTTAAAAAATAATTTGAAGGAAGCAGTCAGAAAAAGTTTTGCAGATGCCACTCTTCAGGTAGGCACCACCCCTACCATTAAGGAATTTGCCCTAATAATCACATGGGCATTCATTCACATTTCTGAATGTATGCTAACTCTTCCTAGAGTCCTCCAAAGCAATGGTTCTCAACCACCAGTCCAGGGATCAGTGTTGGTTTGCAGGAGATTTCCTGCTGGTCTGCGTGGATGGGGGTGGGCTGCATACCGCTCACTGCAGACCAGCACGGGGGCTGGCTGTGCTCCACCACCTCTTCCTCAGTTGGCATCATGTTTGCAGAAGGTGGGCCTGTGCTGCCAGCGGGGCCAGGGAGGGTAGAGATGGCTTGGTGGGAGGCAGCTGGGAGCCACACCACGCTGATTTCGGTATTTCATTCTTTTGTTGGCATTTTTTGTTGTCGATTTCTGGTTGTTTTGATTTTTTTTTTTTGCATTGTGTTTGGAAACTAATACACAGAATACTGTATTGCATGTATGGTAATTTTTGTTTCTGTCTCAGTGTTCCCTGAAGTGCTTTTCCTGTTTTCAACCAGTCCCCAGCTGTGGAAAGGTTGAAAACCTCTGCTCTCAACTGTCAAGAACATTTACTGTCTGCATCTCTGTCCCTCTGCCTTATACATACACATGCCCACACACATGCGCACACTGTCAGGAAACTGCAGAAGGGACAAGACATAATGGTACAGTAAATATCAGTGATTACAGAGTATTGATATGGCAAAGAGAAGAGCACATGAATCATGGCAGGGTTTGGGTGTGGGTATTGACATGCATGAAAAATAGTGGGGCCCTTTGTTGCAGGCTAAAAGACTGTCAGAAGAAAAGCCAAATGCTAACAATGTAACAAGCTTAACTGTGCAACTAAATGTAGCAGACCCTAGCAGAGTCTGATTCTTTCTGGGCAAGAGGGGGAGAGACACTGCAGGTTTGGTTTTATATCACAAAAGTACATATAAGCAACCTTTTCATATAAAGATGCCATGTGAGACTTGGAAACTCCAAAATATTTGTTAATACTACTATTTTGAAAACATGTTGGTTACTTTTTTCATCATAATGGTCCATATTCCTAGAAGCTAAACAAGCAGTATACCTCTTACTTCCAACTTCAAGTACAAGAAGTTTATTTACATTTCAGTGTACCCAATGTGAGTACTGTGATAAATCATCTTCCACTACCAGACACCTGAAAAGAATCCAACACCAAACCAAGGAGTCTAGACAGCTTCTTCTACGTGTTTATGATCATTAAAGCTTTAATAGTCCGCTTCAAGGACAAAATTCTTTTGGAACACCTGGCACTCACCAGCATCACAAGAATATCCAAATGAAGGGGGAAGGACATATATTAAACAGAAGTTCTAGAGTAATGTACCATTTTTTCATCTCAAACATGTATTATTGTTTGGCCTTATGTTGTGAAAGCACATTCATACTCAGGCCTGTTCCATAGGCAATCAAACTTACTCCAGGATAAGAAAATAATGACTTGAGTCTTCTCTCTTCTCCCCAGTGCTAATAAAAGCTTGCTTATAAAACACTTTTAGCACAAGTACTAAAGTAAACAGCATCCTTCTGGTGTGGCAATATGCAGATTTTAACGATGATTTTCTCCATGGTTTGTTTTTAAAGCCCAAAGCTTTAAAACTTGTCTAACAAAAAGAAGGCTGTGCAGAGATGCTGATTAACCTTTCTAGTCAAGTCTTTTAATTTGAAATCACAGCTTTTTTTCTGATGGGAGAAAATGGAAAGGTGTCTCGATTATTTTCAATTCCTCATCCCAAATTAGGTTGGAAAGGGTGATTTTGAGCTGCTAACAAGCCAAGTGCATCCTTCCGCCACTCAGACTAGCACCCTAGGTTTAAAAGCAACAACATAATACACAGGCGCAGTTTTCATTCCTTGAAGCCTATGTTACCATCACATGAGATTGCTTATAGTTCAAGGAACATAAACCAAGGGCGATGGTGCTCACCTAGCAATGTGTCCTGTTAGCACAGAAAGAAAAACAATTGCAAGTGCAAAACAAAGACATGAACAGATGGCCCCACCCTAGAACTTCAAAGGTCACTTCAAAATAAGCTTCCTTCTGGTTATACTGCTGCAAAAGCTGAAGTTCTTTGTTTATAGCTTAACAAATACCTGAAACAGTTCAGACATTGTTGTAAACTACCCAAAAATCCACAGTGGTCCACACATTTAAGCAACATTCTACTTAAATATGTAAGCTTTGGAGTTCTCCAGAATTCGTTAACAGGCTAGATCAGACCTGGGCATTGTACAGCTCGCGGGCCACATCCGGCCCGATGGCTGACCCTGACTGGCCCGCATGAGGTCACTGGCAAATTAAAAGTCAATGCAAATATATATCGTTGTAATACAGATGCAAGCAATACAACTGCACTGCTTTTATTTTGAAGGAGCTGCTAAACTGAATTAAATTTATTGCTTTTCATGTAATGTTAATGTTTTTGTGAATATTCATTAAATAGTGTTGTTCTGTGCTCCACATTTTCATTGTATCATTGTAATGTTTCATTTACTGTTTTTATAGAGATATATACTGAGCAGAGCTGTAAGTGCATTGGTCCGGCCCTTAACAGCTGTCAAAGTTTCTCATGTGGCTCCATAGGAAAATTAATTGCCCACCCCTGAGCTAGATGGTACACACAGCAGACCATGCTGAGGCATGTGAAAATCTGTTCAGGCGTCATGGCCCTGAATTCTGCAGTTTAGATAGACTGAGTCTCAACACAGACGGCAATCTGAACAAACATGGCATGGCAGGTGTTACAAGTATCACCTAGCCATGCACTTTGGAAAAGAGAGGCAGTCTTTTGGAAAAAGAATGGTTGATTTCCATTCTGAAAACAGAAAGGCTGCTTGTAACTCTGATCTATCTCTTACTGTGGGCAACCATACAGGTTCCTGATGTACAGGAACTGTACTGTACAGAAGGGCAAAGAAATATGGCAGACCTTATAATAGCAAAGCCTGAAATTAATTTTACATGGGACACTTAGTTGAAAAAAAGGCAGTTGAGGCCAAACTGATAGTATTATGTAGTGATTGGAAGAGATGGAGCCCCCAATTTAAACCTCTCCTTAGGTGGTCAAAAGTCTTCTTACACTGTGGTAGATTGTAGAACAGCTAAAACAGTATTTTCCAAAGCACAAAGATAATCATACTGATCCAAGAAGGAAAAGAAATCCAAACACCAGAGCAAGAGAATGCCTTCATAAGAACCAACCAAAATTCCACAAAATATGCAAAGTTTCCAAGCTTTTGCCTCTCCTTCTAAACAAACCTTACACCAGAATAAAAGTTATCCCAGAGCATATAGGCTCCACTATATGCTAGGCTTCCTTGATCCCTAATGAAATTACTTTAACCTCAAGATACAGGAAAGGGTTACCAAGAAGAAATGTAACCTGTAAAATAGTTCACACAAATATTGATTCAAGAATGATTTAAGAACAAGGAAGTAAAGAAGCTATTAAAGCATGACTGAGTAAGAAATGAATTATTAGATACTAGGTGGTTAAATTACCCTTCTTGGCTATGGCAACATAGCTGTAATTAGTAACCAGTCTGAAGAAGGGAGAGGTTGCTAAGAACTATTTGTGTACAGACTGCTCCTTCAATAAAGGCATCGAAGTGACAGTGCCAATGCCAATGCTCTTCTTGGATTCTTCAAAACTATATCTGTTTCAAAGATACATTTAGCTTTGCTGAGAAATGTCAAGCTACTGACAAGAGTTAAATTAAGAAGCAGCAGCACGAACAAGCTGGTGAGGGAAATGATGCAAAATAGACAGAAGAATGAAGACCAAATGAATGGGTATTAATTGTGAATTAATTGTGAATCAAAGCACTTCCAGAAGAGACATTAATCCAGTGCATCTCTCCACCAGCAACTTTATCACCATATTACTCCACAATATTTTCACACTCAAGTCCCACCATGCTTATATTTCAAAGAATGAGATACTTGTTCTGCTATTATAGTACAAACCACTAAAATACAGTTTCTGAAGAAGTAAGAATTGAATATCTATTGGCATATTCAAGTTACATACTTGGAAATTCACACGCATTTGTAATTCAAGGCAACTGAAATCTTCATCATTATTTAAAACATTTCCATACTGCATTTCCATTCAAAAATTTCAAGATGGTTCCCAGTAACTAATAAACTAGGTGCCACAAGATTTCTTGTGTTCTTGCTCTGACTGATCCTGTCAGAGCAAAAGCAGACACAATTCTGGGAAATTACCAACTTAAGTGACACATATCAAAATGTTCTAATAAATAAATAAATAAATAAATAAATAAATCTCTAGCCCACTATAAATGGGGAAAATGGATAGTAAATATGTGGTAAATATTTTAATCTGCTGTACATGGCTACTGCAGCTTTACAATGTCTAAACTTTTGAGTAGGA